CTGTCAAAGATTGTTTCAGATTCCCCAAAACTGCTATTAAAAATGAGATTCATCATCAAAGTTGCTGTTGGCTTGTCTCACCACTCTCCCGTTGGTCCTTTACCTAAGACTTGGCCCAAAAAGAACTAGAGTTAGAAACGGTGAACAGTAAGAAGGCAAATGAGAAATGAATTCAACAGAGAAGCCACCGCTTATACTTAAAACACACCATCAGCAGACACATCAAACAAACAAACAAACAAAAAACCCCCAAAACAAAACCAAGCCACACACACGAAAATCCCCTCATAGTCTTGATGATATCCATTTTGACAAGTTTCTTCTTATGGGACTTCCCAGAAAAATATTACAAATAAGTTTTTTCTTAAAATGAAATAATAATTTTAAAAACCCACTCTGGAACCTACTAGATTTTTTTTTTAAGACAGAGTTTCTGGCTGGGTGTGGTGGCTCATGCCTGTAATCCCAGCACTTTGGGAAGCCAAGGCAGGTGGATCACCTGAAGTCAGGAGTTCGAGACCAGCCTCACCAACATGCTGAAACCCCATCTCTACTAAAAATATACAATTAGCCGGGCGTAGTGGTGGGCACCTGTAGTCCCAGCTACTTGGGAGGCTGAGGGAGGAGAGTCACTTGAGTTCAGGAGGTGGAGCTGTGGTCAGCTGAGATCACACCATTGCACTCCCACCTGAGAAACAAAAGCAAAAATCCATCTCAAAAAAAAAAAAAAAAAAGAGTTTTGCTCTTGTCGCCCAGGGTGGAGTGCAGTGGCACCATCTCAGCTCACCATAACCTTTGCCTCCCGGTTTCAAACAATTCTCCTGCCTCAGCTCCGGAGTAGCTGGGGTTATAGCATGTGCCACTACTCCCAGCTAATTTTTTGAAAAGATTTTGATGACTCCAGCAAATAGAGTTCCAGAAACCGGTAAGCCCTGGACAGGCCCCTGTGAGAACCCATTACCTTCTTGCATTTCACTCCCTCTGGCCAGATGGGCCCCAGTGGAACATCTTTGTTGCCTGCTTGAAAGCAGCTCTCAGAGTCAGACATGGATCCCTGCCAGGACGCCCAGCTAAGTCTCCCCTGCCACTACCACTGACAGCCCTGCACTAGAGGCACCAAAAACATCAAGAACACACAAAAAGGAAGACAACAATACCCAGTCCAGGGCCAAGCGAGCGGGACAAGCAGACGGTGCTGCGAGCATCTAGGCAGGGCCCATCCTGCTGGAGATGGGGTCGCTCTGGTTACCTGGGGGGCCCCCAGCCAGCAGTCCAGCTAATACCCAGCACTTTCACCTTTGGAGCTGGCAAAGCCACGAGGTGCCAGCCTCGGCACAGGTAGCAGGTGTTTTGCTAGGACTAGATGATCCATCAGGCTTACTGCCCCAGGGAGGGAGCCAGCCTGATCTGCTACTCAGCAAACGTAAACAGTGCTTACGTTCAGTTCTGGCCTCCTGCGCTTGGTGTCTGCGTCCCACGGGAGAGCTCCAGTTTCCTACTGCTGACAACACTATAAAACCACTGTAATGGGAATTAATTATGAAAAAGGCCAGTTTGAATTAGAGACATTTTGAAAACAAGTACCTTTTACTTCCAAAGAACATTTCCTTTTCTAGTAATTAACGGTTATTCTGAGCAGAGGTTCAAAGGACCTGCTTCAAGGAGTGACTTCGTCATTAGCAACATTCATTCCTGCATAAATACACTATGGCCCTTTTTCCGAACGTGCTTTCCTAGGCAGGCTAACTCTGCCCACTGCCCCCGCTGAGCTTTGTTTATCCCATAACAAGCTCAGCAAACCCTTCCTTCACAGAGGGCAGGGAACTCTGGCTGCCTAGTGGGAATTTTCAGCAGGATGAAACACCCTCAGCCTGACCACCCATGTTCCCCCACACTGTGGGACAGAGAAGAGCAGAGGTCCCACTGTCCCACCCCACGGGCCTGGCCATCTGTTGCGTGTGGTCAGGAAATACAATGAATGTTTTTATTAGTCTAGACCAGGGTTTCTCCAGCTTGACGTATCTGGTGCCGGACCATCCTTCGTGATGTGGATGGCTCTGTACGCTGTAGGATGTTTAGCAGTTCCCCTGTCTCTACCCACTAGATACCAGTAGCACCCTCTCTCCATGCCCCTATAGGTGTGACAATGAAAAATGTCTCCAGACATTGCCAAATGTCCTATGGGAGCAAAAGTCATATGTGGACATTGTCCCAGATGACTTCTTTTAAACAATGCATGCCGGGGTCCCACAGGCATTTCCCAAAGTTCCCCAGGGTGACTCTAAATGCACTGGAGCCACTCCAGCCCCGAACTCGGATGGGCCAGTTCCATGTGAAGGAAAGGCCCTGTGACCTAGAGTTCTGAGCAGCAGCGGCTTAAAGACAGAACCGACTCCAGAGCCCAGCATGATCCGCCCAAGTGTGATTAGTTGCCATTTCATATGAGCTACATACCTCTTCTTAAAATTCAGCAGCTCACTGAAATGTGACTTTAGGTTTGAGCTGACTTATGAATCTGTCCCCTTCTTTTAATTCTTGTCATCCTAGAATTAAACCATCCAGTCTCACCCAGATGAGAGCAAAGCCCTTTCACCGCCTCCTTACTGGCACCATGCAGGAAGTGTTTATTAAGTACCTGCTAGGCCCAGGAGCTGAGGATATATATTTGGGCCAGGACAGCAGGGGTGGGAAATGGGAAGGGAGGAAGAGGGAGCCAAGAAGGTCTGCAGGAGGCAAGAGGATGGAGGGGTGGACTCCAGGCTGAAAGAAGAACATGGGGAAGACAGAGCATTTTTTGGGAAATAAACAAATTGGTGGGTGGAGCTGAGGGTCCCTGTGGGGAAGATCGGGATAGAGGCAGACAGGGACATTGAACCCCACCACCCAGGCCCAACTTCATCTTAAAGGTCATGGAGAGCCACAGAGGATCTGAAGCAGGGGAGTGATAAAGAGCCACTCAGCGACAGTATCCCGGGACCAAAACACTGGGATTTAGGGAAAAGGCAAAGATAAGATCAGGTGCCACAGGAGAGGGCCAGTCCAGCAGGTTACGGAATACACAGGCCCAGGGCTTTAGGGAACATCCTGGGTGCAGATACAGATCACAGCTACCCTACTCAGGGTGCATGCTGGAGCTCTGTCATCGGCTGCACTGTCTCCTCAAAGCTCATGCACTGAAGCTCTAACCCCCAGGACCTCAGAATGGGACTCTGTTTCAAGAGTGGGCTTTTAAAGAGGGTATTAAGGTAAAATGCAGCCATTAGGGTGGGTCCTGATCCAATTTGACTGGGGTCCTTATAAGAAGACGAGATGAGGATGCAGACACACACAGAGAGAGGCTGTGTGAGGACAGAGAAGACAGCCAAGGAGAGAGGCCTCAGGAGAAACCAACCCTGCTGAACCTTGGTCTTGGACTTCCAGCCTCCAGAACTGTGAGGAAATACATCTCTGCTGTTGAAGCTGCCCGTATGTGGTACTCTGCAGCCCTAGCAACTTACCCAGGGAGGCCAACTGAAATCTTTGAACAGTTCTGTGGGGTCTGGCATCAGGCAAACCTGACAGCCACCTGCAGGGCAGAGACCACGTGGTGCTGGGCTGGGCCTGGAGGAGGCAGGGGCACTGGGCATTGGGCAGAGGAGATACTTTGCAGGAGCTCAGACATGTCAAGAGGAAGAGGGCTGCGGCCCCTGGGTAGCACAGGCCGTGTTTTGTAATGAGGACTCATTAAGGTGGCTTTCAAGAGGGACTGAATAACTCGGGTGTGTCCTGGGGGTACAGCGCCTCAGGGGCTGGCTTGAGGGGCTGTGGACAGACCCCTTGGGTGGACACAAGCCCCTCTCTCTTGAATTTCTCCCATCAAGTCCAAAAATCTTGTTCTTCTATCATTTCCCTGCTTACAAAGTTCAGGAGACTCATTGTCTACTGGTAGATAAAAATTCAAGCTATGCCCAAGGCTGATTCCTTGCAGGGTCAGGACCCATGTCCTCCTCTAGGCCATGTCCTCTCTGCACCCTGCACATGTCCCTTCACCGCCTTCATCAGCTCCTCACAGAAGAGGCCCTCTCTCCAGCCTTTCCACTGCTCAGACCCAAGCCCTCCTTGGGGATGGCTCAAATGCCACCACCCCCTGGGCTTCCCTGCCCACTGGTGGTAGCAACTCCTCTACACCTCATCCTGTTCTTGGGCCAGAGCACCTCACAGTGCACCGCACCTGCCTTCCTGGGGTGTGCTTAGTTCACCCCCACACCCTCAGCTCCTATGCCCTGCCCTGCTCGACCTGTGCCACACGCCAGGGATGTTCAATTTCCCAGCTGCCTCCGGCTACACCAGTAGCTCCCTTCTCCAGGGTAGACACGATCTTCTCTCCATCTGTAACACTAGCCCAGGGCAGATGTTCAGAGAGGAAGACCAGGGACACCACGCAAGCGTCTGCAGCATCGCCTCTGAAGGGGAAGGCAGGGGAGGGATGCAGGGATTGTCCAGAACTGTCTTTGAGAAGGAGGATGCCACCCAAGTTCCCAGCTGCACATACACCATAGCCAAGGGGTGGAAGCGACCCAAGTGTCTGCTGATGGGTGAACAGAGAAACAGAATACGGCACAGGCACACAATGGAGTATTCCTTAGTCTAAGGCAGGAAGGAAACGCTTACACACAATACCATACGGAAAAGCCTCGAAGACATCACACTAAATGACATAAACCAGTCACAAAAGGACACATACTGCATTATGCCACTTATAGGAGGTACCTGGAGTAAGCAAATTCATGGAGATGGAAGGTAGCATGGGGTTGCCAGGGGCTGGAGGGTGGGGAATGGGGAGCTGGGGTTTCGTGGGGACAGTTTCAGTCTGGGAAGATGGAATCGTCCTGGAGATGGATGATGGTGCCGGCTGCACAACAATGAGAATGTACCTAATGCCACAGAACTTTACACTGAAAAATGGCTAAAACAGTACATTTTATAATTTGTAGTTTTACCACAATTACAAATAAATACAATTTTTTTTAAAGAGTAGGACAAAGACTATCCACTTACTGCAGACGATAAAGTATATCCATTTGAAAACAGTGGAGTTCCTCAACACGTAGCAATCAAGGGCGCCCAATTTGTACAGCATCTTGTAAACACGTGCAAAAGACAGCTTTTCATCTAATCTGGGGGGAAACGCTCCATAACGCAAATTACGATGCTAAGAGCATAACCCGTCCATAATTCAATGTGACCACTGGGATGCTTGTGGTTGTTTGAGGCTGGCATTACCTCCTTTGCACCTATTTCTTTTTTTTTTTTTTTTTGAGACGGAGTTTCGCTCTTGTTACCCAGGCTGGAGTACAATGGCACGATCTCGGCTCACCATAACCTCCGCCTCCTGGGTTCAGGCAATTCTCCTGCCTCAGCCTCCTGAGTCGCTGGGATTACAGGCACGCACCACCATGCCCAGCTAATTTTTTTGTATTTTTAGTAGAGACGGGGTTTCACCATGTTGACCAGGATGGTCTCGATCTCTTGACCTCGTGATCCACCTGCCTCGGCCTCCCAAAGTGCTGGGATTACAGGCATGAGCCACCATGCCCGGCCTGCACCTATTTCTAAAATGATTCTAAGAAACAAAGCACAACTGTTAGCTAGTTGAATTAAATTATATAAAGGACTCACCTTCCTCCTCCCCACTTTATCAAAACAAAACAAAACAAAACACCTGATAAACACTAAACTAGCATTCCTATGACTTCACATCCTTAGCCACACATCTCTGTGACTCAGCTCTTTGGTTCTCTGTTCAGGTAAAGTGAGCCCTCTTCCATTTGAAAACGTCGCTCTCTCAAAGTTCAGACACTAACCGTTAACTTTGAGAGAGCAGTGTTTTCAAATGGAGGAGGGCTCCTGGGCTCCTTCATGCCATTGCGCATCTTGAACTAACCAAACATCCTAAACCAAATTGGTTAGGGCTTTGTGAAGCTGTTCTCTGGGAAAAGCAGGTCCTCAAAAAGTGTGCGTTGCTTTTTGCCAAAAGAAATCTAGAAAAAGATACAAAATACAATGAAGGAGGGGCAGAGAAGTTACTGAAAAATAAGGAAGACCGGCAGGGAAAGCTTGAGGAAACCCTTGCCCAGCTCTGCGGTGGTGACAACACGCCTTGTCAACAAGGGGCTCTGCATTTTCATTGCCCACGGGGACCTGTGAATGATGAAGCTGGCCCTGATTAGAAGAAATGTTTGGAAAGCAGGAGACTGGCCCTGTGTGAAGGCCGGGGTGGGAGTGACAATTGGCAGCACTGTGTTGGTGACTGTCCAACGGCTCCTTCCAAGCTCTCTGGGTGATCTGCAGCTAACATCTAAGGCCATGTTTAATTATTCCTAGAAGAGAAGCCTTAGGAGATGTGTTCCTGCTAATTCCACACTCAGCTCAAGTAGCCAGCAGGTGAGTTACATCCCGAGACTCTGGGAAGGAAAAGAATACTTTGTTTAAAGCATTTAGTGGTTAAATCATCAATGCTCAATTACCCTCAATTAACTGCCAAAAACATCTGCCTATAGCCCCTTCCACCCCAGCTTGAAGAACAGCCAGACCCACATCCTGTCACACCATTAGAAGGAGTCCCCAGCCCTAGGTAACCTCACTCCCTGCTCCAAAACCTTCTTTTCCTCACCCCACGCCATGCTGGGCATCAGATTTGCACTCAGGAAGCTGGAGTTGGACAGAGAGATGCTGGCCTGCGTTGGCCGTTGCTTGACCAAGGACCACATGAGCAAAAGTGTCAGGCGAAGCCCGTCTGAAGCGGGAACAGAGTCACTTATGGAGAAAAGGATGAGAAGACATGGCTTCCGAGAGGAATGGCAGCGGCAGCGGGGCTCCTAAAAGATGCTCCCACTCTACTTGGTGATCTCAGATCCCACCCTCCACCCCCTGCCCTGCAACTTTCTAAGAAATTCCTTTTACATTTTGTCAATGTAATTTAAATTTGTTTTTGTTACTTGTAGCAAAAAGAGTCCAGAGCGAGGTCTGATGGGATACGATACCATGCAGATGCCACCGGCGGGTGAGTGCTGGCAGTGTCCTTTCACAGCAGTGGTTTATTTTAGAGGAAACCACTTCATGCATTCAACAGCCCCTGCCCTTTCCTAGACAAACAGGCCCTTGTCAATCTCTAGGTCACTTGTGCAGAGGAAGATCTGCTCATCCGTAAAGACCAAAAGAACAAAACAAGTAAACCCCAGCCTGCAGAAGATCAAGGTTTTTATAGTGCTGAGATCAAAGTCCATGGCCTCCCATAAAATCTCAGCTGCAGGTGGGAAGGGGCCCCAGCGCTGTCTCCAGTTTTCAACTCGCCCTTGGATTTGCTCTCTGAGCTCCGCTGCTATAGGCTCAAGGTCATCATCAACTCTTCTCTCAAATTCCACTCTCTCTGATCCGTATTTTCACGCAGCACACCCAAGCCAGGCTTTCAAACACAAGAAGCTCATCTTGCACTAAATGGCATAAACTCAAGATTTCTGGCCTGAGAACTCCGGGAGGCAGTGACACGCTGGGCAGAGCCCCACTCTCCAGACCTCAGAGCCCTGGCTACCCAGAAAGGTTCCCTCCTTTCTGATCCTGGCCTCTCTAAGCTCTGTGGCCCGGTCACCTGTTTTGTTTTCAGATTGGAACTCGCCCTGTGGAGGGTGCTTTTTGCTGGCACTCCTCCCAACCCCCTGGATGCAGGCTTCCTATCAGAAGGGCACACCTGTCTCTGAACATCATCTGTTTCTGGGCGAAGGCGGCAGACACCTGGCAGCACCCAAGGAATACATCGCCCTTCCAGGTGTGGCCTTCAGCTCCTCCCCCTCAAAGCGCTTCTCAGATGACTCATCCAGCTTGTCCTCACCCCACCTAGGGGAGGAAGAGAGCCACCTGAGGTTTTCAGGGTGGGGGCTGTTTGCCAGGCACGTGGGGGTGGGGCACACTTCCCAGTGTTCTTCCTGTGTCCTCACAACTGCCCTCAAGCTCAAGGTCAGGCAGTACTGACCCCACTCTACCATTGAGGAAACAGGTGCCGTAATGCTCCAGGAGACAGACCCATGACAAGCGGCAGAGTCAGAGCTGCAAGCCAGGCCTGCCAAACTCAAACACTCTTGCCCTTTTCTTTTCTTTCTTTCTTTTTTTTTTTTTTTTTTTGAGACAGAGTTGTGCTGTGTCACCCAGGCTGGAGTGCAGTGGCACCATTTCGGCCTACTGCAACATCTGCCTCCCAGGTTCAAGCGATTCTCCTGCCTCAGTCTCCTGAGTAGCTGGGATTACAGGCACACACCACCACACCCAGCTACTTTTTGTGTTTTTAGCAGAGACGGGGTTTCACCGTGTTGTCAGACTGGTCTCAAACCCCTGACCTCAGGTGATCCACCGCCTCAGCTTCCCAAAGTGCTGGGATTACAGGTGTGAGCCACCGCACCCGGCCACTCTTGCCCTTTTCATGACATCAAGTTCAGTTGAGCTCAGACATTTATGGTGTCGACCTCATAAAGTCAAAGACCTTCAGTAGCGGGGAGAGAGACAGACATCCTTCCAACCAAGGTCCAGTGAGGGCTTGGATAAGGGGACAGCTGGTTGCCATCTTTCAGATGGAGACTGAGCTGGCCTGAGGGATGAGCAGGAACCAAGGGGCTGAAGGAAGGAGGCAAGGGGCTCGGAAAAGTGGAATAGTGTGAGCAAGGCACCAAGGCAGTGAGAGAGATCGGGCTGGGAACTATGAACATACACAAGATACCACCTACAACAAGGAGGGGTGGCAGGGGAGGAGAGGAAAGGGGCATGGGGCTCAGGCCTTGCTGGGTGCCACAGTAATGGGGAGCCATGGAAGGCTCCAAGCAGAGAAGCGACGTGGGCAGGTTTCCATCTTATTTTCTGTCTCTTGGGCCTGTGGTGTTAAGAGCAGCAAGACAAGACGGGGAGCTGACTAGCAGGGCTCAGAAGGCAGAGAATAGAAACATCTGCCCAGAGAGGTGTTGGTACAGAAGCCCACCCATGCAAAGCCACAGCAGAACTGTCCAGTGATCCAAACATACAGCAACCACAATTCTCAAGCACAACAGGAGGGTCACCTCTGAAAGGCCAGCACCAGAGAGAAGTCACAAAGGGTGGGAGCCCCTGACAGCCCTTCCTGGCCCCTCTCCCCTGGTGAGGGCCACTCTGGGGCAGAGGGCAAAGAGAACTGGATTCAAACTGTAATAGGTTGGTGGCTTTGGACAAGCCAATGTCCCTCCAGCTCAGCCTTCTCATCTAAACTGAAGGCTTTGACTACATGATCGTATTAAACATGGCCATGCCCAGGACAATCTTTTACCTAGATCAGGCAGTTAGCAAAGGCAAAGCCGGCCGAATTTGAAGGTAAATCCTAGCCCTATGATTTCACATATCTGGGTCTTTTAGCTGTGTAGAAATTTACTTAGTATCCTCCCTTGTTGAGTAGGAGGGCAAGAGAAAACGCCAGAACACTCCAAAGGGCCCATATTTTCTATGGACAGCATCGGGAACAGACTCAGACCCCCTTGCCTGGCCTCTGAACTTCCCGTAGGACTTCCCACCATTCATCCCCAGTACCCCTGTGCAGGCCAGTATATCTGCTTCACAGACAGGCCCAGTTTCTTCCAGAGCCTCTGGTCAGGCTGCCTCTCCCTGTCAAAAGTGGCCTTCCCTCCCTTCTGCCTAGGGGTGGCTGCAGAGCCCCGTCTCCATTGCATGTGCAGTGTTTGGGCCCAGGGCCTCTTCTCACCCCACATGCCCTCCACTGACGCCCTCCATTCCCAAGGCCTCACCTCAGCTGGCTAAGGGCATCTCCTTGGTATCTCCCAAGAGTGTCTGCCTCCCCATCAGCACTGGGATAACTCCGCATCTTCTACAGGCCTTGCTGGCTTTCTTTGGTGCATTCAGCACAGCCTCCCCTCCCCACCACACAAGATCTCCCTGCAGCCAGAGAAGTCTTTTCAAAAATATGAATTCTGACTGTACCATATCGCTTATCCCACTTAATAATCTTTGATGGTTTTCTTTTGTTCTGAAATTAGAGGAAAAGTTCTTAGCATGGTTTATAAGCCATCATCACCCCCCATTCCTACAACAATTGCTATCAATTCCAGGCCCTGCACACCACAGGGCCTTTGCAAATGCTGTTTGCTGTCTCTGGAAAACACACACCTCTTTCCTCTTTTACCTCTCTCTCCACCTCCCGCTCAAATCTTAGATCTCATCTCAGATGTCAGTTTCTCACATAGACCAGTCTGTCTAGGCCAAGGTTTTGTTGTTGTTCTAGTCTCTCAATTCCCTTTCTTTCCACACACTTAACTCAGTTTGTAATTAAAAGATTATTTGATCAGCTAGGGTGTGCCTTCCCCAGAAGTCTCTAAGCTCTATGGAACCTGAGCTGTCTACTTTCACATATCATTGTGTCCCCAACACATAGCACAATGCTCAGCTCAGAACAGGTACTCAAATCCGTGAAAAGGAGGAGGGAGGAAAAAAATTTTTTTTTTCTCTCTTTTTTTGAGATGGAGTCTCTGTCGCCAGGCTGGAATACAGGGGCTCAATCTTGGCTCACTGCAACCTCTGCCTCCCAGGTTCAAGTGATTCTCTTGCCTCAGTCTCCTGAGTAGCTGGGATTACAGGAGCCTGCCACCATTCCTAGCTAATTTTTGTATTTTTAGTAGAGACAGGGTTTCACCATGTTGGTCAGGCTGGTCTCGAACTCCTGACCCCAGGTGATCCACCCTGCTTGGCCTCCCCAAAGTGCTGGGATTACAGGCGTGAGCCCCCATACCTAGCCAAAAATTTCTTTTCAAAGTGACCCAGGGTGACACTCACTAGTGTGGTAAATATTTAACAACTGGCTCTATGAAGAACAACAACAAACCCTGATCTATACTGTTTGCCAGTTCCCACGGTATAAACGCTCCCACCATGGTGAATGTCAAGCTGCCAGCATGACACCACTGAATGCAAAGTTGGATGGACTCGTGCAGTGGGCTCAGCATCAGTAGAAGCCAAGCTGGCTCTCACATACCACCAGTTTGTGGCAAAAGACAAAGATTCAGAAAGTCCAAATTGTCTTTAAATGACACCAACTTTTGACTCAATCCTACCTTGAACTAAAGGGCAAAATAAAGGCACATTGCAAAAAATGCTACTGACAAAGAAAGATGGAGAGGGAGAGATTTGTGGATGTTTCAGAACAGGAAGCTGAAGAGGGAGACCTAGGACCTGAGAAGACTTCTGCCTCCCAAAAGGAGGAGGAAAGGCTGTTTAACAGCTGGTTAGCCTCTGATCCCTGCATCAATAAAGGCCACTGCCAAATTAAATGTTTAGGACATTGTTATGAGCAAGTCAAACATGCTCATAACATGAAATGGGGGTTATATCCTCTGACCTTTGCAGCAATTTATCCTAATACCTCAGTAAAAGCAAAGCAAAAATCTCCAACCCCAAAATAAAGAATAAGATCATAAAAATATTAGCAGAAGGCTAGGTGCAGTGGCTCACACCTGTAATCCCAGCACTTGGGGAGACTGAGGTCGGCAGATCACCTGAGGTCGGAAGTTCGAGACCAGCCTGACCAACATGGAGAAACCCCATCTCTACTAAAAATACAAATTTAGCCAGATGTGGTGGCACATGCCTGTAATCCCAGCTGCTCAGGAGGCTGAGGCAGGAGAATTGCTTAAACCCAGGAGGCAGAGGTTGCGGTGAGCCAAGATCACGCCAATGCACTCCAGCCCAGCGACAGAGTGAGACTCCATCTCAAAAACACAACAAAAACGAAAAAATATTGGGAGAAAACATAGGATTTCCCCCCAGTCTTCCAGGAATCTTTTAAGCCTTAAATCTAACATAAGAAAGCATAAAAAACACTGATTCATACAGCTCTAACCAAACCATAAGTTTCTGCATAACAAAGATGT